CAAAACCGCGCCAACCGCTCACACTGCGAACCGCGCGCCGCCGCCTCTGCATTTATCGGCCCTGAAAAGCGCGCTTTATGGGCGATATAAATGCCCCGGCTATGGCGGCGCGTGCACCAACATAGGGCGAACACGACTAGGAGGTCCGCGCTCCTGCGGGACCGACGACGCGCGGGGGGAGGGCGGCATCGGGCGCCGACGCCCTGCCGCACCCCGATGCACGCCCGATGGGGAGGCCCCCCCCGCGCCCCGAGCAGCCCGCGCGCGCGTTGCGCCCGCGCCCCGCCAGTCGCGCGCTGTCTCGGCCGCCAGCTTCCTCTTCTTGCGCACCCGGGCGCAGCCCACGACCTGGTCTGCAAGCCCCGGCGGGCCCCTCAGGGCCGGCCAGATATTTACCAATTCATCTCGAAATCATCGATTCCTTTGACCCCGCCCTGCTCCATGGCCAGAGCGAGCACGCCGGGGTCCGGGGCGCCCGCTGGCGGCATCGCGTTTGCCGCGGCGCGCAACAGTCCGAGAATATCGCCATTAACGGTAGGCACGCGCGGCATCGTAGCGTCGCTGAACGAACCGCGCGGAATCAACGCGACTGCCTGACTGCGGCACGGCGCGCGCGTCCGTCCGCACGCGCAACTGTGTAAACTGTTTCGTACGCTAGCATGAGCCCCACGGCGCCGCGCGGGGCCATGGCCACGCCACCTCGGTGAAACCCTCGCGGTCCATGGCCGCTATTTCGGCCGCCTTCGTGGCGGGCCGCGTGGGGGCGTCCGCCGCGTTGAGCGCGGATGGCACATAGCACGCGCTCAGAAGGCACCACGCGGCTGCCGCCGCGAACCAGATGTCGGCCACCAGCGCGTTATAATCCGGCTGGCGCGAGGTGCCGCGCAGGAGTACCCCGAGCGCGCGCGGCCTGGCGCGGCCGGCGGGGCAGCGCGCACATGTCCGGACGAACCGCTCGCGGCTGCGCCTTTGAATCCACAAACATTACGATTTCAGCGTCGCGCAGCGGCGAAAGCAGATGATGCAGCGCGCACACTGCCGCGACGAGTTCCCACGTTGCGACCTGCCACACACGACGGACCGCATGCCCAATCCCGCGCGGCCGGCGGGGCGCCCCCGCCTGCGTCTTGCGGCGCCGCGCCCACCGTTTAATTGGCGAGGGCACGGCTGCCGCCGCATATTGCTTGCAGCCTGGCCCGATGATGACCCACGCCAGCCTGCGGTGGAGGCGTGGGCCGGGTCGGGCCCGCGCCGGGTCCGGCGGGCGCGCGCGTTCGCTGCCTGCCGCCCCCCGTCGCGTCGGAATACACGAGGTAGCGGGACCGGCTCGGGCCCCCCCGCAGGGGCACCGCGCGTTCTGGCGCGCTCCGGAGGAAACGCAACCATTCCAGAGCCCGGCGGAGCCGCAACTTCAGTTTCCACTCCCGCTGCTGCGCGTGCCAGAACAGCGGTGCGAGGTATACCCGGGCACCTGTCGCCGCCCCCGCGCGCGCGCGTTGCCTGCGCCCGGAGGCCCTCGCGCGCCTCTGCCGAACACCGCGGTGGAGCCCCACCCTCATCTGCCAGCGAGTTTGGAGGCGGCCGCCGGCGACATCCGCCCTGCCGCCAGCGCCCCCTCGATCTCTTCGGTCCACTTGTCGCGCATGTCGGTACCGATCGCGAACACGAGCGATAGCTCCTCGCCCGAGCCGCGCACTTCCGCGTCGACTCCGAGAACATTTGCCCTTGGTTCGGCCACGACGCGCTTGCCGGCGTCGAGTCGCCAGCCCAAGATCCTCGACGACCGCCCTCAACACCTTGGCGGCGTCGCGGGGGCCGCCCGCGCCGGGCCCTCTGGCGGCGTCGGCCCGGAACAGGTCGTCGACAAAACGCCCCGACGCAAGCCAGGATAACTTGGCAAGGATCGCCTGCCGCGCGCGGGGCGCGCGCTGCGACGCCGCGGCGGCCGCGCCCCGCGCCTGAAGCGCCGCCCCAACTCGACCCCAAGCGCACCCGCTCCCCACGGAGCCGAACGGACAGCTCAGGAGTTGCAAGCAATAGCCCTCGCTGGCACCCTTGGCCCATGCCGCGTGGGCCAGCGGGAGGCCGGTGCCTCGCACGGGCAACGTCTTATAAGCCCCGACGAAATCTTCCTTGCTCAGCACTGGCGTACCGGCCGCGGCTGCGATCCGCGCCAGCTCGACCAGAGCGTCGAGGGAATCGACCCTGCGCGCGGCCGCGGCAACAGGAGGGGGGGCGGGGGGGCCGAGGGCGAGCCGCGCGCGCCAGGGCCCGCCTGCACCTCTCGTCTGCCGCGGCGCAGTCATTCACTCCTGCAGCGGTAAAGTCGTCAATCGCGCGTACCTGCGCTTACCAGCCATCGGAGCGGGGCACGGGGGGGGGCTGCTATCCGCTGCGAATGCGCCCCTCCTTGCGCGCCCAGGCTGATTCCTTCCAACGCCATCCCTCGTCGACAGGGAAGCGCGGGTTCAATATCGCCCCCCGCGGTAAATCAGACAGACGCACCCACGTCGCCTGACCCGCGGCTACCTGCATGCGCGCGGGCGCCGCGGCCCGGGCCGCCGCCCGCGCGGGTTCGCGCGGCGCGCGCGCGCCTCCTCGCATGCCTTCTGATGCAATATCTGAATGGCTTCTGCGTCGGCCCCCAGGTCCCGACACACTCGCTCGAGAGCGGGGGCGTTGAGATTGTCCGCCCGGCCGCGCAGCTCGGACGGGCACGCGGCCTCTTTGGGGGGCACTTCCGCGTTCATGCCCGAACGCGGCAGGACGCCAACCAGCGAGAATCCGTCTTCCAAATCGCGCGGCAAATTAGAGTCGGGCGCCTTGCGCGCCAGGCCGCGCTCCGCTGGCGCGCGCCCGCGCCGCGGCGCGGGCCACCCCAGCGGCTTGCAGCATTTCGGCTAAGAGCAACAAATTCTTGTCAGGCCATGGCAATCTCGCATAGCGCGCCTCCCCGCAAGCGCGCTACCCCGCCAGGCGTGGCGCGCGGTTTGGGCGTGCCCGGCGGCGCCTCCCATGCTGGGGCCGTCACCCGTTTGCGCTCCTGCCAGAACTGCAAAGCCGCCTCGCGCTTTTGCTGCATGAGTCGGTCCGCCGTCTGGCTCGCCGCCACCGCCGCGTCGCGCGCAACCCCGGCGAGCGGCGCCATTTCAATGACCCGCGGCAGACGCGCCGCCCAGGCCACGTGGCCGAGGGGGCCCATGCCCGCCATCGCGCCTTCGTCCGTACGTAACGCTTCCACGGCGGCTTTAAGCTGCACGCGCGCGGCGCCGCGGCTGCGCCCCGGCGCGCCCTCGTAAGATGATGGGCGCGGGCCTCTTCAAATGCGCAGCCAACGTCGTGAATGTGCTGGGGGCGCAGATCGCCACCCCCGCCCTCGACATCGCAATCGGAATCGGCATCCGCGCCCAGCGCCGCGCACGCGACGGGCGGCGCGGCAACGGCCGCGGTGCCCCTGCGGCGCCCCCTGCCCCTCGGGCGACGGCCCTCGCCACGCTGCGCTCTCACCGCTGTCGGCAGAATGCAGCGGGGGGGGCCCGTCGCCTGCGCGGTTCGCGGCGCGGCAACAGCGCGGACGCGCCCGCGGACCGCGCCTTGGGCAAGCGAATAATTATTACGCACCGCGCCAACGCCCTGGCGTCACCACCGCCAGGTTTCGGTCTTCTTGGGCTTGTTCCACGAGCCCCCCGCCTTGGAAGCCTCGGCCGACTCCCTGCGCGGGCCCGTCGACCGCCGCTTCACCGGCGCCCGGGGCCTCTGCGCGCCCGCCTCGCCCTTGCCGGACTTCCCGCCCTTCGGGCCCTGGCCTTTGGCGGCGCCGGGGGCGGGCCCGGGGCTCCAGCCGCTCGAGCGCTGCCCAAACTGGGTCGGCCTCACACGCGCGCGCGAACGCGGATGCGATAGCGCGCGCCCGTCGCGCTGCGCCTGGAGTCGGAAGAGCCCCCTCCGGACTGCGCCTGGACCTTGCCCACGCCCTTTGACTTGTTCAGGACGTGGAACTTCGCTTCGGCCAGGACGCCCCAATCGAAACCGGCGAATAGGTCGGCCACCGCCGCCCCCTCGCCCGCCTGCTCCAGGCGCCCGGCGGCTTTGCGGCGCATGCGCAGGTCACACTCGAAAGCGGTTCTCGCGCCGCCGTGCTCTTCCGATACCCGCGCGGGAACGGCGCCGCGAAGGAAACAGTTCTTACCGAAAGGTGAGTACCCCTCCAGCGCCGCTCGCGGCGCGCGGCGCGCGGCGCGACGCGCACCTTCACCAACTGGAACTGGCGCCCGAGGAATTGAACCGGCGTCAATACTCGGGCCAATATCATCTTCGAGGCCCAATCCAGCAGATGCGCCTGCTCAACGCCCCCCCGCCGCGGGTCGCGCACTGCGATCGCGCGCGCGCCGCGCGGCCTGAAAATTCGCGAAGCCCAGGAAATCGACCCGATCGGCCTGCTGGCCAACCTTCTTTGCGGCCAACGCATCGCGGACCTTGTCTTGGACGGAGCCGTTCCCGACGACCTGGCCCACGGGGGGCGGAAATTCGCCTGGAGGTCCCCACCCCCCGAGCCCCCGACGTAAAGACGGCCTTTGCCCCGCGAAATCTCGCCGGCAGCCCGCGCGGCGCGCCAGGCGGCCCGCGCGAGCGCACGCGAACCAAGCCGCGGATCGCCACGCGCTGACCTCCAGGCGTATCACACGGCGTATCATCGCCTCCTCCGTCGGCATACCGCCCAGCGGGTAGTCACCGAGGGCCAATTCCTCCACTCTTGCCTGCGCGCCGAAAAACGCATCGCGCCGATTCCCGGGCGCTCCGCGCGTGCGCCATCGCGCGCGCACCGTTAAGGAGAATGACAATCCCTTTACCTTGGATTCCTTGTCCAGCGCCGCCTTTTGGCACTGGACACATTCCTTCATGGCCTCCACGAGCCCGGGGCCCCCGCCCGGCGGCGCGCTGCCACTCGCGGGCCCGCGGCCCTCGGCTTCTTCAGCCGCTGCAGCCGCCTGCTTCAGCACCCGCAGAGCTAGCATGCACTCCGCCGCTTCGCCGCCCACATCCCACGGGGCCGCTTTCGGCGTCGCGGCCGGCGCCACGATCGCTTTCACTTCGGGCACGGAGAAATCCTCCGCGCGCACAGAGCCCACGGTCTCGGCGAGCAGCCGGGCCACCGACGCATGCATGGTGCATGACCGGGTGCGAACTCCGCGGGCCCGCGTCGGTCGTTGCCACGAAATGGACCCATTTCGTGGCCAGCCGGCGGCTGCCGCCCCCGAACGCCGACTCCGCGCATTTCTCCAGCACGGCCAAGATCTC